ATTAAACTTTTGAATTGGTAATTGCTACTTATTAACCTTTTGAATTGGTAATTGCTATTTATCAAACTTTTGAATTGGTAATTGCTACTTATTAAACTTTTAAATTGGTAATTGCTACTTATCCAACTTTTGAATTGGTATTTGCTACTTATCACTTTGAATTGATACTTGCTATTTCTAAAACTTTTAAATTGGTAATTGCTACTTATTAAACTTTTGAATTGGTAATTGCTATTTATTAAACTTTTGAATTGGTAATTGCTACTTATTAAACTTTTAAATTGGAAATTGCTACTTATCAAACTTTTGAATTGGTAATTGCTATTTCTAAAACTTTTGAATTGGTAATTGCTATTTATTAAACTTTTGAATTGGTAATTGCTACGTATCAAACTTTTGAATTGGTAATTGCTACGTATCAAACTTTTGAATTGGTAATTGCTACTTATCAAACTTTTGAATTGGTAATTGCTACGTATCAAACTTTTGAATTGGTAATTGCTACGTATCAAACTTTTGAATTGGTAATTGCTACTTATCAAACTTTTGAATTGGTAATTGCTACTTATCCTCAGATTCTCACAAGTTGTAGAAACATCAAACATACTTTGTCCAAATATGCCATTTGATATATGTTCTCAGGTTCATTAGTTATTTTGTAGGAGTAGAAAGCTATTTGGTGATGGGTTTTACATAATTCATCCACATAACTATTTGAACTAAGAAACGTGAATGTATAGGTGACAAAGGATCACTGGTTTATATTTAAGATGAACAAGAAAAAAAAGTTTCTAATTCTTACAAAAGGTTGAAACACACATCTCATCTGGTTTGCACCTCTGGATAAATTTGTTCAGAAGTGAAACTTCTTTTATCGTGCCGTCATAGTTGTCCTACATTATTATTAGTTTTAAACATTTCAAACTTTAAAACTTTGATAGTATGCAGTTTTTTCAACCTGTTTTTTTATAATATTGTCAATGAAGCAACTATTAAATTAATTACATTTAACAAAAGCTTTAACAAAAGGAGTTTTGTGGCTGAGTGACTGGTAGCCGATTTGTTGCAAATTCGAAGGTTTGTCGCGACATATTGTTGTGTCCCAATTGTTTCAGTCTATCCAACTGTATGATGGGTACCAGTTGATAGCTATCAGGTTAAGCCTGAGATGGAATGGCATCCCATCCAGGGGGAATATACCACCATTCTCATCCCTTTGTATCAACGAAATTAGAGTTCAGCACCGGTTCCTAAGTGTCGTCTCAGCACAGGAGGGATTTCACCTTCGATAACTTTCGTGTAACAAAGAATAACTACTTAGAATTCTTTAAGTTTACATACGATTCACAAGAACTTTCATTAAATTGGTATCAGATATTACACTATCAACGTAACTGTTTAGAAAGTTAAACTAGATCCATGTTTACATTAATCTGTAAAAGTGTATTTTAGGTGATTACTATTTATATAGTGCAAGAATTTCTTAAGAACATGTCTAAAATAAAATGGTTTAAAACCAAAACAATATTTTTCTAACCATTATTTATCAAGATTGTTCAAAAAACAGGTTAATCATAACAGGTAAAAGCTTTGATCTCATATTCACCCTCATCAATCTGGTCATACATAAAAACCATTAAACATAAAATGTGATTTTTAATAACAATTTATAAAAAAAACATGCTTGACAACTGATTCACTATAACTGAAGATGAAAAAACTAACTTAGTAAATATATTAAATGTTTCTTGCAATGGAACATTAAGCAGACAGGCTTCATCAAAACTGGATTTATACAATTTACTGTAACATTATCATTAAACTTAAGATTCGAAGAGGAAATAGAAAACTGAAAACTGTCTTTGGCATTCACTACTTATGTACCTGAAAAAACGTACTTAAAAGAAAATACAAAGAACCTATGATTATAAATATCCAACTTTGTAACTGTTAGTCTTGCACATATATTTGGTTTGTCTGATAAAAGCTATCAGCTACAGTTTTGTCTTTCTTTAAATGCAAGAGTAAATTATGTAGTTTTATTTCTATCCTAAATGTTCAATCTTTCTTTGATTTCACAAATTTTTATGTCATCCATTAACGGTTAAACTAACATAATTACTTTGTTTGAATTTAACTATTGTTTTATTACTAATGTCTGGATGTTTTATAACTAAATTAGTAGTTTTTCTACAAGATCAATATGAGCTCTATATTACTCAGATAACGATTGTCTAAGCAACTGGTATGAGTTCTCACTGTATCGAAAGCCAGATCAAGTGTAAGGAAATAAAACTTTAACTGTCTTAATAAAGATTTCAAGGAAGACAGATAAGTAACAAATTGCAAAGTTTGGTTCAAATCCAAATGAGACACCTTATTTAATATTCTTTTTCCAAATCATTAAATTAGTAAGAAAGCAAATAATCTGGATTGTTCAAGAATGAACTACAATGTTGACGAGACCAAAGTTGATTCAGTATACAAACTATATTGTGATGAAGTAGTTGTTGCGTCAGCGAGGTCACGTGACTAGTATCACGCCACTCCTTCTCTCGAACCTTCGTGAATTATCGGGAGACTACTAGATATGTGTTAGTCTTGTATATATAAGACGTTGACAACGTGACGGGGAACAGAGGTAATGAGTAACTGAATGTATGCGGACAAAATATTGTTGGCCACGTGAGACATAGCGTCGTTATAGAGCGACTGTTGAAATTAAGTGTATCGTAAAGTTATATTCAGAAACAATAAACCAGTTTTATTTAAGAAAGGACTTGTGTCGCTAAAGTTTCGTCGGAACGAAGTTACGGGAAATCATCTAACGACTGGAGGCGTAACACAGTATTACAGTTCTTATGAATAAGGTTATTTACAAAACAGAAAACTAATTTAGAAAACAGTATATCCAACAAGTTAAGTAATCCATTAGATATAAATTAATAGATGTAGATAACTTATATCTTTCAAGAACTATATTTGTGCTTCTTTATATGATTTTTATTGTTGATTTACACATGAAACAAAGGGAATCCTCAATCGCCGTGGCTGTAATTAGACCTCAAATCGGTCAATAGATAGAGCTATGAGCTAAACGTTTGTGCTTGATAAAAAAAAAAAAAACTCGGGGCCATTCTATGAGCTGCTATGCCTCGGTAAAAAATATTTAGAAAGAAAATTTTCACTGTTTAAAAACTTTTTGATGAAGAAAACTCACGGGTACATAAGTACAATTTTGTGATGTTTTAAAAATTAGTATAGTCTGTTTCATATATATTACTTAAAGTGTAAATAAATTTATTTTTTGGAAAACCAAAGTATTGAGAAAATAAACTTTAGGATACAGAATATTACTAAACACGTATACAAGCTATACATTTTACTTTATCCCAATAAATGCACTAATTTATAACTATAAATATAAAGACCCTCCCTATCCCACAGTGCATAAACTTAGAGCAGTTCTAAAGATATATTAGCTGAATGATACAAACATAGTTTGCTAATAAATAAAAAAATGCAATTTATGAAGTTATTAATGTAGAAGAATAAAATAGTAATAATTACAAACACGCTGTTTATCTAGAATCCAAAAAGTAATGAGAAAAAAAAACATAAAACATAAAATTGAGTAAATTAGTTAGAAAAAAATCTTACTTTAGAATACCATTACCACATTTCATTTATATATTAACATATAATGCACACACTACACTACCATGAAATTGATGATAGATAAACTAAAGCCTGAGTTAAATCAAGAAACGTTGATGATACAGTTGCTGTCCAAACTATAACCCTGGTCAGATATATTGTTGTTTTAACACCTATCAACTACGTTCACAAGAATGATCTAGTATCTAATAAAGAAAGCTTAAGTGTTTTATTTGCAATTATATAATAGATTATTTTCTCACAAAAAGGAGTTTACTACACTGAGTTAAGCCTTATCCTTTCACACAAAATTATATATTTCATATTTCAATGTATAATTTCATGACTTTTGATGCAGAACACTAACCATTTCTCATTAGCTGAGGTTTCCAGAACATGTGATAGTGATTAACCTGGACTTCTTGGAAGCATATAACCTGTTAACATAAAAATAATGTAAGTTATATAACATAAGCATTATGTAAATTCTCTACTTGTACGATACAATCTTTGATGTGTGAGAACTTATTAATCACAACAGCAAAAACAAACTTTATGAAATAATTAGGTTGTGTGCCTATAATTAGGAGATAATATATATGGACTGAAATAGCTTCAACTGCTTCTCTTATCACTGTTGTTTATGAGATATGCCCAAAAGTGCCATCAGAACTACAGATCAGGAGGAAGAGATTCATATTTTGAAAAGGCTGTTGTGGTTCATGTATATTGTCTCCTCATTCTGAAATGTGTCGTAAATAATTATATATAAGTCAAAGCATTTTAACTAAGTCCACTTACATAACTTCCTTCTCTATCCTAACAACATTTAATTCATTATAAGTACACTAGTTTATAAATCTCATCGTTGATCTAGGCGACTGACTAAAAGTGATATAGCTTGAGACACTGAAGATTATAGTAGAGGTTTTGTTGCTTTATTTGAGCTATTATATTTATGTTACATCTTTTTCTTCCCTTTTAATTAATGATATTCAAAATGTTGTTGTTGTTTTTTAGATAAAAACAATGCAGTAGTTACAAGATAGTTTGGTTAATTTAGCCACACAATTTTGTAAATTTTAGACTTTACAATTTACATATTAGCAGGTGAATTAGGGATTGAAAATAAACCAGGAAAACTATTTCTATACTAGCCCTCCAAAGATATCGGCAGAGACGGATTACGAAAACAAACTGAGTGGGGTGCTGCGCTTAAAGCTGGATACATTGTATATAACATATAACAGTACCATTCATACAGTTCACAAACTAAACAAAATTACGTTTGACAAAATTGTTCACTTACATTCCAAACCTTATTACATTTATTACCCATCTTAGTAAAGTATAGGCCTATACAGTCCCAAAATTGCATAAACTCAAACTACTTCATACAAAAATAATTTTAAAAGAGTGGTATTATTACTCATTTATTGCTTCATAAACAGGAAATTGGGTACACGATTAAGTCCTATTTAAATAGTGTTTAAAAATAAACTTTTTTTTTGATGGACTGTTGGCCCACCAGGAATTTTCCTAGTGTCCCAACAACCTAACTTGAATATTACTGTTACGTCAGAAGCAGAAAAATCAAACCAACTTATGTAATGTGCAGCATTGAAAATAATTATGTAAACACACAAGTGGTGCGTATACAGGAGTCACATACAATGAGTAATTGGAAATATATGGTGAGATTATCACTCGGACTCTTTTTCTTCCAGGAATCATTTTACCCCATTCGTTGCGCAAGCTTAGGATCACTATTTTGCTGGAAGATAAATCCCTGCCTAATAGGTCTTGTTTCTGAAGGAATGACATGATACCCGTTTCAGCCTTTTGGTTTAATTATCTCTCTTGTTTTGCTCAGCTAGATCCATTGAGGCCACTTCATGCTAATGTTTACCTTTCACAATTCATACTTTTTCTTACAGTTAGATCATTGGCAAGACCTTTACTAGAGTTTCCTATATCACATAAATCGCATACCCCTAGTACCTTAAAACTACTTTTAAATAGTTTGGGCTTTCAATCTCGACAGCTTCTATTATCAACAGCACTAGTTTCAAGTACCATCTTTAGACTTTCCAGACAACTCTTATGGAAACGTGACGTTTTGGCTCAATCTGTCACACAGACTAGCTATCACCAGCCACAACTTTGATTTCTATATTTTTTCATATCTCATTTCTTTACTGGAAATCATGAATGTAATGTCAGCCAACTACAGTGTAAACTATCAACTTGTGACTGTACTCCATTGTTACACCTCAATTTAATACTGTGGAGAAAGATCAGTCCCAATACAATTGCATTTCATACCAATTATATTCATGTATTCATAATTATTTTCAATGCTGTATAAGAAACTCGGCATTTCTTAATTAATTTAAACAGGATGTATACATATGTATACAATCGGTAAAAACATAAGGTAAATATAAATCTACGATATTAACATTGGTGTTTGTTTTCTGTTATTAAGCATAAAGCTACACAAAGAGCTATCTGTGCCTTGCCCAACACGGGTATCGAAACCTGGTTTCTAGCACTATAAGTCCGAAGACATACCACTGTGCCACTGGGGGACTAACATTTGTGTACTTGCACTAATGAATGTCAAGAAAATAAGTTGAAAGAGCTAGTAGAACCTACCCACATCATTTAAGAACATTCTTAGCTAGCCGTTGTGTAATGTAGTAAAATCGTTGGAAAAGTAACAAGTGGTTTTTAAACCTTAGAGATACATTTAGAGTAGTAATACTTATTTTCATAACCAAGTCTCTCAATGCAAGTTTGCCAGAAGATTATCAAAATAAGCCTCTAGAAACTCATCTAGTTGTAAAAATGGTTATGGCATTGTTTTGTTCTGAAGCACTTTGCAAACATTGTTTTAAAAATAATTTGATCAACTGCTTAATTCTTTCCCTAAACATAAAGAGAGAAATTCTTCTTTTGGGTTATGAAACTACTATCTAGGAATCCAATCAAATGAAAAAAATTAACAGAATCTCATTGTATCATTTTCCTTTTTTCTTTTTTTGCTGAGTGAAAGAAAAGTTTTACGAATGAAAAAAAATAGCAAAGCACACGTAAAACTTACTAACGATAAATTCAATTGTAAGAGTCTATTAATGGGACATTGTTAAGTCTTTTTTCCTGTGAAATTTGGGGTGGGATAATATGGTGAGTAAGCAGTAAAATTAATAATTAACCAGCTAATTGAAATATTATAACATATCAACTTGTAATTTCAGGAAATAAATGCACAATTAATCATTTCACATAATATTTCTTATAATCTCAGAACATAATCATCTGTGAAATATTTCAGGCAATTACCTCTAAAAATGTCACGTTGATATTACATGAAATAACTCTGTTTGTGTTGAAGTTCACGCAGAGCCACTTTACACCAGACTAGAGAAAAGGCAGCTAGTAAACACCACCCACCATCAACTCTTCTCAGACCTAATAGTGGATTTCACCACCAATAATTAAACATCGGTGGGTCCAAAGTGTGGAGTTTTATTTTTTTTTTGTGGTAATAGAACATGAACCACAGAATCTCAGAGATGCAGTATAGCAAATTAACCAGTAGGTTGCATTCAGCCTGACAAATAGTTTAAGAGAGAGATAAGTCATTGTAGAATACAAAATATATTTCTGTCTAAAGATAAATTAAATCTGTGTTAGGTGAATTATTTATATATAAAATTGTGGTAGTGAAAGAGTTAAACTGAATAAACTTCATTCCCTATTGATTATGTAAGGAGAGGGTTACATCCTTGACACAGTTCAATTACGCGAAACTAACAAAGGATCCAGGCCTAAGGGACCTTAGATGGGATATTCTTTAATCACTAACTTCATGAATGGTATTATTTCATTTTGATAGATTAAATTCTCATAAGATTCAGCCAGTTTTGAAAACCCTACATGTGTTCTGTACATAGCCAGTCGTTTTCAAACGCTCTAATAATTAACATTTTTTGAATTCAAATTAAAGTTGAAAATTAACATAATCCCTATTGTCATGATTTTATTTCTTTTGGTTTTGTCGCGATACAGAACTACGAATCTTTTATTTTTTCTCAGAATTTTCTCCCTTTTCCTTAGCTTTCTTTATTTTCGATCCATATCTTCATATAGTCACATTTTCGTGTTTTCTTTTTGTGTTTGTTCACATACTTTTGTATCCTCTAGCTGATTTGATTTATCCATTTACCAGGCACCATCTGTCCTTGGTGTTTAGATTGCTTATGAAATACTTTCTCTGGCCACTTTTTCTTGCCAATATCCTAGCCTGAGAGGGATGAAGTTGACGTACTGTTAATTTTAAGTGTTATTTTAAAATTATGATACTTCTGCTATTAAGGTGCTAGATGTAGAGGCACAAGACTGAAGAAAGCAGAGAGGCACCCGTCAATCATTAGAACAAAATGACCGATAAGGAAGCAGAAAATACAGTATAAAAGTGTTTAAAACTAGATTCCACGTGAACAGTTTGATCTATACCTGAAGGTATTGTGATCATATTATTGGTATGAGAAAATAACTTGTACACAAGACAGCTGATTGTCCAACAACAATACAACAGGCAGTGTAGCTAAAATTCACTCTTTCCAAATATTTGAGATAACAGTAAAAAAAGATAGAGAATATCAAAAAATCTCACAGAGATAAGCACACAGGGATGTACAATGTACACAGACAAAGCCCACCGTGTGTTCAGACACATACAATTTAGAGTGAATTTTGCTTTTGGACCACATGCCAAAAGTTGGGCATGCACTAGAGGTGTAACTTAAATTAACTGAAATAACAGTATTTTTGGAAGGATACATGGTCCTATATTTATCCAGAAGATTACTGCAGAGTATCCATCGGAAAAACAATACAACAATCAAGTAAAAATAAAATATCAAAGATGATGCTGGGCAGCAGTTGAAGGAGGTAAGTGTAGACATGCTGCAGGTAGTGTGATGTAAAGATGTAACAATTGCTCCACATGCTGACTCACAAAATGTTCTTCTGAGGAATTCTAGTATTTGAGACCAATGATAGATATTTGAATGTTTCACTTGATGAGAAAAAGCCTGAAGGTCTGTTCGAAACCACTTGAAAGATGAGTATATATGTTAGAAATAAAGAATTTCAGCTACAAAGTGAGGATAGTAGTATGTCACAACCTGTCCAGCAAAGGATTTATAGAGAATAGATAAATTACATGAGGACTGATAAAAGAATTCAATGCCAGCAACAATGTAGCAGACTGCCTGTACACGACAAGAAAGTCAATCTGGATTTAATAAATCACTTCCTCTGGGTAAAGCAATACTACTAATCTTCTTTTGAGATAGATACATATTCACTGAAAACCTGTATCTAACATATGTCAGTAGTATGAATAACAAAGCATTGCCCAGCCAAT